CTCAAACATTTATAAGATGAAGAAGAAGGGGTTAAGTAGTCATTAGACCTTTAGGAAGTTAGTTAGCCACCTAAAAATAACAATGAAAATAGTGTTATTGCTTGGGTATAAATCTAGGCATGTGACCTATGAAGGGTAGGAAATGCTTTTAGTAGGAATTTTGGTTTGGAGGTCTCTAGCTTCTCAAATTGCTAGGCTATCCTTAATTTTCTTTTCGTCATCTTTTATACTTGTTCATGATTAGCTTGCTTTTCCTTTTTCACTATCAGATCAATATAAAATATATCTTAATTATTCAGTAACAGTTGTTCATTGATTTGTTTATCTGTGTTGAGTGTGTGTTAGTCCTAGGTTCTTAACTACAACAAAGACCAATGTTTTGAAACCCGACTGGTTCAACTGGTTCGATTGGAAAAACCAGGGGTGTGAGTTCACTAGGTATGACCTGCGGTTGGGCCGGGTTCACTGTAGCAAATCGCCAGTCCAACCGATTTTGGGGGCAAATCAAGTGAATCAAAATTCAAATCACTACGAATTTCAACTGGCGTTCAACGGGCAAACATGAATCGGGGTTAAGGGGTTTTGGAGGGTGGATCATGGTGAGTCGCAAGGTGGTGTCCGATTAAGTTTTAGTAGCCGAAATCGCTGAAATTTGGCCAAGAAACGGTGAAACCCTAGCTTCTGATTGTCGACGATTGCTAGGTGGAATGGCTTGGGAATTTTGTGGGTTTTGTGGGGGAGTAGTCGATGAGTCTAAGAGTGGTGCTGGTTCGAGTTGTCGTCTCTCGAAATGATCAAAAACTGATAAATGAAAATTGATTAATGCTATTGTTGTGGCCATCGATCAACGAGTGATAAGAGGGGATAAAGGGTATGGTTTTGAAGAGGAGAGGGTGGGGCTTCCAATGGTGGTGACATAAGTGATTTTGGGTGAGAAAACAACCCCAAAAAAGGGGAAGAAAAGCCGATGTCAACGTGTGCCAAAAACAGCTACCATGCTAACATGCACCGATACAAATATTTTGAAATTTTTTTATGTGACATGTAACTGGTTTGACCGGTTAAACCGGTCAACCTAGGACCCAACCACTTTGCCGGGTTTAGCCTCAAGTTATTAAAACATTGACAAAGACTACCTAGTACCATTGTCCAAGGCAATAAGCTGTCTCCTAAGTTGCTATCTTGATTCTTGAGACCAAATAATAAGAAAGGTGTTCTACCGTGAATTCAAAATTTTGAAGTATTAGGCAACGACAATTATCATCATCAAAATTAAATTTGAAATTTTACTACAACATTCAATCAAGCTTAACAACTCGTATTTTTATTGCTTAATTGGTTAGTAACACACAAAAGTTTGTCAGACAGCCAACCAATCTACTAACTACTGAAAGGGATTTCCTACTATGCTGTGAAACTTGCTTCATAACCAATAAGTAAAGGTGCATTATATGTAAAGTGCTAAGCAAGGTTGCATATATATTTGTATTGCAATAATACTAGCGTGACAAACGTCTCTCACTAATTTCTCTCACAAACTACACACCTGACACTGAGTTGACAGCTCCCACTAGAACGGTCGCAAAATGATTTCGACTACGCCTAAAAAATGGTCGTTCTTCCATAGGGAACGATTGTTATGAAATAGGAACGACCATTCCTTAGATGAGAAACAACCGTTCTTTGGATGGAACGACTGTTCCTTGGATGAGGAATGGTCGTTCTTGGTTGAGGAACGACCATTCCAAATGGGCTTATGGAACCCCCATTCATTCTTATGGAATGAGGGTTCCACATGGAACACCTGTTCTATAAGATGGAACACCCGTTCCATCTCATGGAACATCCATTCCTTACGAGAACAACTGTTCTTTATAAATGGAACGATCGTTCCTTATGAATGAACAATCGTTCATGTTTAGTCAAAGTTCGTGATTTGACGTGTAAAGCCAACTCAGTGCCACGTCGGGTGTTTGTAAGAGACGTTTGTCAGCGCAGTGTTACTCATTTTTATTGTAGCCAAACCCCTGCTAAAGATAAAAAAATAATTCAAAATGTAATTTTTGGAAGTGAGTGAAGCCACTATAATTTATTTTACTCACAAATAATACAAACACGGTNATCGATAAATGAAAGTCGATTAATGTTATTGTCGTGGCCTGCGATCGATGAGTGATGAGAAGGGATAAAGGGTATGGTTTTGAAGAGGAGAGGGTAGAGGTTCCAATGGTGGTGACAGGGGTGATTTTGGGTGAGAAAACAACCCAATAAAAAGGGAAAAAAGGCCAACGTCAACGTGTGCCAGAAACAGCCACCATGCTAACGTGCACTGATACAAAAATTTTGAAATTGTTTTATGTGACATGTCACAGGTTTGACCCACCAGTTTGACCGATTAGACCGATCAACCTAAGACTCAACCACTTTGTCGGGTTTAGCCTCAAGTTATTAAAACATTGACAAAGACTACCTAGTACCATTGTCCAAGGCAATAAGCTGTCTCCTAAGTTGCTATCTTGATTCTTGAGACCAAATAATAAGAAAGGTGTTCTACCGTGAATTCAAAATTTTGAAGTATTAGGCAACGACAATTATCATCATCAAAATTAAATTTGAAATTTTACTACAACATTCAATCAAGCTTAACAACTCGTATTTTTATTGCTTAATTGGTTAGTAACACACAAAAGTTTGTCAGACAGCCAACCAATCTACTAACTACTGAAAGGGATTTCCTACTATGCTGTGAAACTTGCTTCATAACCAATAAGTAAAGGTGCATTATATGTAAAGTGCTAAGCAAGGTTGCATATATATTTGTATTGCAATAATACTAGCCTGACAAACATCTCTCACTGATTTCTCTCACAAACCGCACACTTGGCACTGAGTTGGCAGCTCCCACTAGAACTGTTGCAAAATGATTTCGGCTACACCTAAAAACCTGTCGTTCCTCCATAAGGAACGATTGTTATGAAATAAGAACGATCATTCCTTAGATGAGGAACGATCGTTCCTTGGATAAGGAATGACCGTTCTTTGGATGGAACGACTGTTCCTTAAGGGAGGAATGGTCGTTCTTGGTTGAGGAACGGCCATTCCAAATGGGCTTATGGAACCCCCATTCCTTTTTATGGAATGGGGGTTCCACATGAAACACTTGTTCCATAAGATGGAACACCCGTTCTATCTCATGAAACATCCATTCCTTACGGGAACGACCATTCTTTATAAATAAAATGGTTGTTCCTTATGAATGAACAATTGTTTCTTGTGAATGAACGGGCATTCCTCCTTAAGTAATAGTCGTTCATGTTTAGTCAAAGTTCGTGATTTGACGTGTAAAACCAACTCAATGCCACGTCGGGTGTTTGTGAGAGAAAATAGTGAGAGACGTTTGTCAGCGTAGTGTTACTCATTTGTATTGTAGCCAAACCCCTGCTAGAAGATAAAAAAATAATTCAAAATGTAATTTTTGGAAGTGAGTGAAGCCACTATAATTTATTTTACTCTCAAATAATACAAACACGGTTCTTTTTTATCAACAAAAAATAAAATAAAATAAAAAAAAGGAAGAAAAACATGATTCAATATATCGGCAAGGTTAGTTCACTTTCACTTCTTCCATAACTTGGATAACAATCATGATGAATATTTATTTATCTCCATCATCTTAAGTTTCCTCAAGTAATAGGTTTCATTTCATTTGAATAAAATTTTGTGGAAACAATCATATACTTTATCATCACTAGTGAAATAACATTTCAACAGCCGAAGTTAAAAATAAAAAACAAAAGTTTGAACTAGTTATACTGAATACAGATTATATCTATCACTAGTAGAATTAGCATTTTACAGTGAGCAGATTCAAGATCAGATTCAATTGCTAAAAGGGCATACTTAAGTTATTAATGATCTATAAAGTTACAACAAAAGGTCAGTTACGGCACAAACCTACTTGAGATGAATAATAAGATATCAGCATTACATCGTTGAAGCCCTAGCAAATTTTGAAAATATGGAGGATTCATCTTGCATAAGAGTTTGAGGGTTTCCTTCTTCAACCTACACAGCAGAAAGAATATTCATTCAACTCTTAGGCAATTTCAAGGGGCAATTTAGCACTTGGACCTAATTATTTTAGATCACAAAACTGAAAATTGCTTGGATGCTTAATGCTTGTTTCAAATTATGCAACCACCAAAAATATAGTGTTCCCACCAATTTACCATAAAAAACTTTCCCATTTCCATGTCAATTACTGAAAGCAGAGATACAAACTATTTACTTTTGAGGATTAAAGACTATTTTCATCCTTCACAGCAGATTTCAAAAGAGGTCTGCTATTGGCCTATCATGCCATACTCAGCAACGTAATTGGTATTATCCTACCAATCTTCTCTATGGTAAAGGAACTCACAATCCATGATTCTCCTATTCACAACCTCACAATAACCTAATTTGCTCTATTGAACAATGATCAACAGAAAGATACTATGCTTTGAGCAAATTTGTTTTAAAAAAATTACTTTTCACCTAGAGTATATTACAGTCATCAACATGTCCAAAACCTTTAAATATTTTCTCCTCCCTAAAGGCGGAAAAAAACAATGGCAATGAAGAAGCATACCAGGTTTCCATGATCAAGAATTAGGATCTTGTCCATATTCAAAATTGTCGAAATTCGATGAGCAATTGTGATAACTGTCATGCCTCTACATTCACTAGATATTGTATTTTGTAGGATTGAAGCTGTTTGAGTATCAACATTAGCTGTGCATTCATCCAAACAGAGTACCTGAAATTTTCAATATTGTGAGTACTATTTTCACTCTTTTTCATGGACACACAAACGAATAAGCATTTTCCCCTCAGAAACTGGTTTACAAAGCCAACTAAACCAACATATTTGTAGAATGTCTTTGAAACTCGTGATGAATCATGATACCCAAAACTAAACTTTCAAAAAATCACATATACAACAAAATCTCCCTTTTTCTGTTCCTTTCTTGTTTTTATCTATTATCAATTCCTTGTTTTGGTATTTTTTTTGCGAAAACCATAAGCTAATTTATAGTATAACGAAAACAGAAGGGACTAGAGGAATATAAAACAAGATTAAGCTTAATCAAGGAGATGAAATACTATCCAAATGGTGAAATGGATGACTGAGCAGTAAGCACCATTAAAATGGTTCAGGTGAATTCAAGAAAACCAACAACACCACTTGAAAATAGATAGCTTGGTGCAAGTAGAAGGTCCAAGAAGAGGGAAAGAGATGTCAAACATGCTCAAAATGCAGGTCTTGATATGGTTGCAACCCTTTTAGTTGGAATAAAAGTGATGATGTAACTTTCAGGTGAACAATCATACTACTTCAACAAACATAAAGATCATTTTCATATCAGCAAAAATGTTGTAAGTGCTTGCTAAGTAAAAAGTCAGCAATGATAAGTTTCTTTTGCACATTTGCCAAACTACATTTAATGAAAACTTATTTACATCTTTGAAAGAGTCTAGGATCATTTCAAGTTGATGCAATAAAAATATCCCTCTTTTACCTTCGATGATTTCAGAAGAGCACGTGCAAGACAAAGAAGCTGCCTTTGCCCAACAGAAAATGACATCCCAGATTCCTTCACATGAATATCCAATCCACCTGCTGCTTCAACTTCCTCCTTCACATGGCATTTCTCCAAAATATTCCAAATTTTCAAGTCATTGCACATCCGCAGTGGATCTAGGTTGTCCCTAGAAAATTACATGGCATACACACATGTATGGGATATGTTGTTCAAATGATTCTAAGCTGTAGCATCAATGTCTACCTTACACCAAAAGAAAGCACATCCACATTAAATGGAGAAAATGAAATAATGAATTTGTACCTTAATGATCCCTGAAATAAGAAGGGACTCTGAGGAACAATGGCTAAATGTGCACGAAGATCTCTCAAAGGGGCACTGTTTATGTCAAGTCCATCCACCAGAATCCGCCCACCACATATAGGGGTGAGGCGAAAAAGGGCATTCAGGACACTAGATTTTCCAGCACCCGTTCTTCCAATAATTCCAACCTAATTGAAAATAAATGTACAATGAGAAGAGCCAACTATTGAGAACTTTACTTCCAAACACAGAATTATATTACTGAATGCAAACTGTACAGTTGTGCATATCAAGTTTTATGTGTCCTGACCTGTGTTCCTCCCACTATAGTGAATGTGACATCATGCAGTGCAGCTGGTAACGAACGCTTATATCTCATGGTAACATTCTGAAACTCAATCAATCCATGAAATGGCCAATCTGTGCTCAGAGGCTGGTGTCCACTGAGTTCTTCTTGTGGTACATCCATATACTGGCAATAGAACTAAATGTAAGTAATCAGATCGGAAGCATACATACGAGAATAAGATCTCTCCGTACCTCAAGAACTCTCTCAATTGAAACCATTTCCTTCTCTGTTTCAGTAAAACTTGTCAAAAAACTCCCCAACAAAGAAACAATCGGTGCTGCATATGAGAGTGCCAATCCTACCTGTAAAGTAAAATAACATATAAAATCATTTGATCAGTTCAACATGTTATGTTATTGATGCAATAACTCAAGTGGTATGCATATCTCAAAATGAGGACTAAACATGTAAAAAGTCTAAGAAATGAGGGATAAACAAGATACCAGCCCTGGGGTACCAAAACTAATGGGCAAATTGCCACCAGATCCAATAACAGCCATTGTCGCAACAAACGAGATGATAAATGCTGCTAATAACTGAAAGAAGATCACTAATCACTAAAAAATCACAGCAGATTACAAATATAATCATATAATATCAAATGCATTTGAAGTTAAAGCTTCAAAATGTCATAGTGAAATTGCAAATAATCCTTCAAATCTAATGATAACTTCAGTGTATTGACATCAAATGTCAGCACAAAGAGTTACTGTATCTTTTAGGATATTTATCACCTTATTATAGACAAATATTTCAGTTCTGCAATATACCTGAAGGCGCAAGGAAAGCCATAAACTAGCTGTCAACTCTGAATAAGAAGTTCGCTGATACAAGGCCACATGCTCATTGAATTTGGCCAAGAAGTATTCCTGTCCACCACTTATATTTTTGTTAGCAACACATACAAATTCGATTACTTTTGGAAGCATTTAGTGTAATAATCAAATTAGTATTGAATTTCATCAAAAAATTATTGAACTAAAACTTTAATTATGATAAATCATGCAAGGTTTTATGCCTGGGCGCTTCCTTCTAGTGTGGCCAAAGGATACTGCTAGAAATTATATCATTGATATCTTAAATCACTTGAGCGTTATGCTGCACATTCTTTAAGCAATATCAGTCTCTCATGTCTTTTAGAATATTCTCAATGCTTTATATGTTTTCCTCTTACGAAAACATGTTTATATCATGCTTGACATCTCAAAGATTCAAAACTAACAATCCAGCTAGCACGCTACTTCAAAAAATTGGAATCAAAGGACTTTTGTGGTCATTATCATTTTCAAAAACAGAATTTGAAAATTTAAAATGGAGAAAACACGTTCACTAATTATAATACAAAATGAGTTATATAAAAAAGGATTATTTTTATTTTTATTTAATATGTGAAAAATAAAAATAGAACAATTTAATTTTTTAAGTTGGACCAAATTATACAAAAAATCAAATAAAAGGAATAAAAATTGACTTAAAATAATCAATGAACATCTTTAATAATTTTAAAAATCAAATTAAAATTTTTATTAAGAGTATTAAAATTAAAACATAAAACATAGTATTTGATGAAAACCCACTCCCAAAACTCAACAAAACAGCAAAATAATAACAGCCAACAACCAAGAAATAAGAAGAAAATAGATATGTGTATTGATATTCAACAAATTGATAACAATGGTAGTAAACAACAAAATATACCCAGCACATCAACCAAAAAGGACAAAATCAAAATATGAGAGGAAAAACAATGCTAGACTTCGAGGGTCAGCTCCTCCCTAATTGCTAACTTCAAGGGTTAGCTCCTCCTAAATTTCCCTATATTCTTCTCTGCCTTAATCAGCTCTCTGCCTCTCTTTTTATCCTCCAACTCTCTCTCTCTCTCCTTAACTGAATTCCTTTGCTGTCCTAACCCCCAATCGCCACCTGTCCTAGCCTAAACCCATGGAAATTTCCACCCAACATCCCTTCAATCCACTACTTGCCATCTTATTTCACTTTTCCTACACCCTCATTATCCAAGTCCCATCATTGCCCTCCCAAAGCACTACCACTTTGTCCTCAAGGTGGGAAGATGGAGATTGTTTACCCGAAACCATCCCGCTCCTCCACTCCTTCACCACCCTCTTCTTCTTTACCCAACTCTTCCTCATCTTCTATCATTCGCCGGAAAGGGGTCGATTCGTTGTTGATCATGGGCGTTGACCCTGAGCTGGAATGATTTTCGGTGAAGCTTCGTCGAATATGAGTCTGATTTGGGGAATGGGTATTAATCTGGCTATTAGATCTGGGTGGGTCAAAATTGAATTGGGTTTTGGGCTGGTCTTCAGGCCTGCAGAGACTAGAATAACTTTGCAGCCAGTTATATTTGTTTTCCCATGTTTGCTCAACCCAAATTTTAAATCTTCCCAAGCCCAATTTTTTTCCTTTATTCTTTAGGCCAACTTAATTAATTGGACTATTGAGTTGGATTGACCCAGTCTTACTTTAACCCTAATTTCAGGTTTTAGCCCAGTTACAACAGCAGCCCTTAAAATTTCTTCTTTCTCTTCACTTAACAGGGCTGAAACAACCTCAAACTTACTCTGATCTTCCTCCAACACGTCTAGATGCTGAATAGATTCATAAGTTCCTCCTGCCTCCGTTTGATTTCCCAGATTTTGGTTGTCAATAGTTCCCGATGACTGTGAACTTCCGGTGATTTCTCTCGATCACTTCTCCTTACTTCTTCTTCATCTTTCCTTCTCATCCAAGCTCGTATTTCCATACCATCCAAAACAACACCAATATCTCTCCCAAGTTTTGACACTTTCCTCTCAACATTTGCTATTCTAACTTTCATTCTTGTACCAACCATCCCACAACCGAACTGTGCTAATACCAATTGATGAGAACCCACTCCCAAAACTCAACAAAACAGAAAAACAATAACAACCAATAGCCAAGAAATAGGAAGAAAATAGATGTGTATTGATATTCAACAAATTGATAACAATGGTAGCTAACAACAAAATATACCCAACACATCAACCCAAAATGACAAAATCAAAATATGAAAGGAAAAACAATGCTGGACTTCGAGGGCCAGCTCCTCCCTAATTGCTAACTTCAAGGGTTAGCTCCTCCCAAATTTCCCTATATTCTTCTCTGCCCTAATCAGCTCTCTGCCTCTCTTTTTATCCTCCAGTTCTCTCTCTCTCTCCCTAATTGAATTCCTTTCCTATCCTAACCCCCAATCGCCACCTGTCTTAGCCTAAACCCATGGAAGTTTCCACCCAACATCCCCTCAATCCACTACTATGTATCGGCAAGGTTAGTTCACTTTCACTTCTTCCATAACTTGGATAACAATCATGATGAATATTTATTTATCTCCATCATCTTAAGTTCCTCAGTAATAGGTTTATTTCATTTGAATAAAATTTGTGGAAACAATCATATACTTTATCATCACTAGTGAAATAATATTTCAACAGCCGAAGTTAAAAATAAAAAAACAAAAGTTTGAACTAGTTATACTGAATACAGATTATATCTATCACTAGTAGAATTAGCATTTTACAGTGAGCAGATTCAAGATCAGATTCAATTGCTAAAAGGGCATACTTAAGTTATTAATGATCTATAAAGTTACAACAAAAGGTCAGTTACGGCGCAAAACTACTTGAGATGAATAATAAGATATCAGCATTACATCGTTGAAGCCCTAGCAAATTTTGAAAATATGGAGGATTCATCTGCATAAGAGTTTGAGGGTTTCCTTCTTCAACCTACACAGCAGAAAGAATATTCATTCAACTCTAGGCAATTTCAAGGGGCAATTAGCACTGGACCTAATTATTTCAGATCATAAAACTGAAATTGCTTGGATGCTTAATGCTGTTTCAAATTATGCAACATCAAAATTATAGTGTTCCCACCAATTTACCATAAAAACCTTCCCATTTCCATGTCAATTACTGAAAGCAGAGATACAAACTATTTATTTTGAGGATTAAAGACTATTTTCACTTCACAGCAGATTTCAAAAGAGGTCTGCTATGGCCTATCATGCCATACTCAGCAACCGTAATTGGGATTATCCTACCAATCTTCTCTATGGTAAAGGAACTCAAATCATGATTCTCCTATCACAACCTCACAATAACCTAATTTGCTCTATTGAACACATGATCAACAGAAAGATAATATGTTTTGAGGAAATTGTTTAAAAAAACTTACTTTTCACCTAGATATATTACAGTCATTAACATGTCCAAAACCTTTAAATATTTTCCTCCCTAAAGGCGGAAAAAAACAATGGCAATGAAGAAGCATACACAGGTTACCATGATCAAGAATTAGGATCTGTCCATATTCAAAATTGTCGAAATCGATGAGCAATTGTGATAACTGTCATGCCTCTACATTCACTAGATATTGTATTTGTAGGATTGAAGCTGTTTGAGTATCACATTAGCTGTGCATTCATCCAAACAGAGTACCTGAAATTTTCAATATTGTGAGTACTATTCTCACTCTCTTTCATGGACACACAAACGAATAAGCATTTTCCCCTCAGAAACTGGTTTACAAAGCCAACTAAACCAACATATTGTTGAAGTCTTGGATACTCGTGATGAATCATGATACCCACAACTAAACTTTCAAAAAAATCACATATACAACAAAATCTCCCTTTTTCTGTTCCTTTCTTGTTTATCTATTATCAATTCCTGTTTTGGTATTTTTTTGCGAAAACATAAGCTAATTATAGTATAACGAAACAGAAGGGACTAGAGGAATATAAAACAAGATTAAGCTTATCAAGGAGATGAAATACTATCCAAATGGTGATGGATGACGAGCAGTAAGCACCATTAAAATGGTTCAGGTGAATTCAAGAAAACCAACAAGCCACTCGAAATAGATAGCTTGGTGCAAGTAGAAGGTCCAAGAAGAGGAAAGAGATGTCAAACATGCTCAAAATGCAGGTCTTGATATGGTTGCAACCCTTTAGTTGGAATAAAAAGTGATGATGTAACTTTAGGTGAAAAATCAACTACTTCAACAAACAAAAGATCATTTTCATATCAGCAAAAATGTTGTAAGTGCTTGCTAAGTAAAAAGTCGCAATGATAAGTTTCTTTTGCACATTGCCAAACTACATTTAATGAAAACTTATTTACATCTTTGAAAGAGTCTAGGATCATTCAAGTTGATGCAATAAAAATATCCCTCTTTACCTTCGATGATTTCAGAAGAGCAGTGCAAGACAAAGAAGCTGCCTTTGCCCAACAGAAAATGACATCCCAGATTCCTTCACATGAATATTCAATCCACCTGCCGCTTCAACTTCTCCTGACATGGCATTTCTCCAAAATATCCAAATTTCAAGTCATTGCACATCCGCAGTGGATCTAGGTTGTCCCTAGAAAATTACATGGTATACACACATGTAGGGGATATGTTGTTCAAATGATTCTAAGCTGTAGCATCAATGTCTACCTTACACCAAAAGAAAGCACATCCACATTAAATGGAGAAAATGAAATAATGAATTTGTACCTTAATGATCCCTGAAATAAGAAGGGACTCTGAGGAACAATGGCAAATGTGCACGGAGTCTCTCAAAGGGGCACTGTTTATGTCAAGTCCATCCACCAGAATCCGCCCACCACATATAGGGGTGAGGCGAAAAAGGGCATTAAGACACTAGATTTTCCAGCACCCGTTCTTCCAATAATTCCAACCTAATGAAAATAAATGACAATGAGAAGAGCAACTATTGAGAACTTTACTTCCAAACACAGAATTATATTGCTGAATGCAAACGTACAGTTGTGCATATCAAGTTTTATGTGTCCTGACCTGTGTTCCTCCCACTATAGTGAATGTGACATCATGCAGTGCAGCTGGTAACGAACGCTTATATTCATAGTAACATTCTGAAACTCAATCAATCCATGAAATGGCCAATCTGTGCTCAGAGGCTGGTGTCCACTGAGTTTTCTTGTGGTACATCCATATACTGGCAATAGAACTAAATGTAAGTAATCAGATGGGAATCATACAATGAGAATAAGATATCTCCGTACCCCAAGCATCTCTCAAATGAAACCATTTCCTTCTCTGTTTCAGTAAAAACTTGTCAAAAAACTCCCCAACAAAGAAACAATCGGTGCTGCATATGAGAGTGCCAATCCTACCTGTAAAGTAAAATAACATATAAAATCATTTGATCAGTTCAACATGTTACATTATTGATGCAATAACTCAAGTGGTAT